AGACAACATTGACGAAATCAACCTTTAGCGAGATGGAATAAATCTGACAACCTTCGAAAATGTCTTTCTGGCCTTTCCGTAATATTAGAAAAGGATTCGCGTCGACGCGTGTTCGCAGAGTCAGCCACGCGTCTTCCATTTCGCCGTATCGATACTTTCGTTCGCGAAAAGCGGGCGCAGCGCGGCGCGGCGCGACGCCGGTCGCGAGATACAACCGAAACCGCGTCGTCGGGGTACGTGCGCGTCTCTACGTTAGCATTCAGAACGTTTTAGGCTTATTTCGCACGGCCGCGTTTCAAAGAAGAGATTTGCCTCCGTCAGAAGAGCTTTTTTTCCTCCCTTCCCCCTACCGTGTCCACCCCCGAACGCGCCCGCGCCCGCGCCCGCCCGCCTCCTAATATATGGCATGTGAGAGGGTTGGTTATCTCATCAGAATTGGACTCCTCTAGCAACCAGCTTCGCGTGCACGATCCGGTCGAGAGGACCCTTTGCACCCGATCCTTTGTGGGATTTCGGGGCCGTATAGCCGAGTTATCGATTTCTGTTTCTGTTTCGCCAGCTTCGGCCTGCGGTCGCGAAGCTATTTCTCCGATACGGCCTACTCCTCGATCCCGATATTTTTCGGCCGGGCACTTTCCGACCCGTACTACGCGTCGTTTTTTCGCTAGTCGCGGATTACGTTGCTCCGAATGAGATCTCTAAACTACAAAACGAGAGGTTTTTCCGTTAAAAGGAGAGAGCGTGACGCGCGCGCTCTCATCGATTTATCCGAATTACATGGATAGCACTGGCTCACTTCCGGTCGCGAGATACCGAAATGTTCATCCAGAGCGTACAACTGCTCGGCGATAGACGAGTAGATCACTGTACATTGGCGATGTGCACGCCGTTCCTCGGCGACCTGGATACGGTAGTCGAGCCCCTCTGTTGCTCGTCTTGGAAATGGACGGGGTCCTCCTTGACGACACCGGTGCTCAGGTTCACGACTGTCGTTTGAGGGATCGGGGAGAGCATCGGGGCCACCCGCCACCAATCGGCAGTCGGCCACGCGGCCGGCATCAGGCTCCCCCGGAAGTTTAAGTCCGGGAGAACCGGGAGCGGCCTTCATATGACGTGTCCGCGCTGCGAGCTCGAATTCGAGCTGTTGGAGGTCGACGTCAGGCTCTGAACGGAGAAAGCGCTGTCGACCCTGCCGCTCGACGCCGAGGATAACGAGGACGATGTCGTCGTTGTCGTCGTCGTCGACGATCTCTCCAGTTGTTCCGTGGGCGGCGACGAGGACGAAGAGGAAGAGAAGCGATCCTGGGAACGGTCCTCCTGATGATGATGGTGATGATGATGATGATGTTGATGATGACTCTCCAGATTGGTGGAGAAGTCCACTTCGAGCTTTCGGTATCGGGATTCTTCTCGCTCCGCGACGACGGCGTCGTCGTCGGCCCTCGCCGGGCTCGGAAAGGGTGGGTCGTCCATCTTGGACGACGGAATCGGTCTTTTGGACTCCTTCGGCGGACTCGGGCAGCTACAGTTGGGTTGTAGACAGACGGCTGCCGACAGGCTCGTCGGCCAGGACATCGTTTGGTGGCTCGGATAAAAGGGATTGCCAGTGTAGAGGGCCTGTAAGGCCAGATCGGCGGCCAGCTTGCCGCCGTTGAAGTCGTCGCTCAGCTTGTGCTGCAGCGGATAGAGCGGATAGGCGAACGGCGGAAAGAAGCGCGGGATCTTCAGGTCCTCGTGCGGCATCAGATGATGCGTTGGAGGCGTCAACGACGGCAGAAGACCGCGCGGTAGATTGGTCAAGCTGTCGCCCGGTGATATCAGTGGTGATATCGAGAAGCCGAACTTGTTCTCCTTTTTCACCAGGGACTTCGGTTTCCGGCGCGGCCGGTACTTGTAGTCGGGATGCTCTTTCATGTGAAGAGCTCTGAAAGGTGGATGGTAATTTGTATCATTGTACTGTGAGATTCGACTAGAATTTCTTTCGTGTATTGGTGTGATTGTGTAATTGTGGTTGTAATATATATATACAGAGCGGTGATCCACTGCTAATTAATACAATAAATAATACAACTAAACAATACGTTTTAGACATGTTATTGTATATTTAAATATACAATATTTAAATATATTGAATTAAAAAGAAAAATTTCTATACAACAGAAATTGTCTATATTTTCTTGTGTAATTTAAAAGTTTAAAGTCTTAAAAATATGTTCTTACGTCTAAATTAAAATTAAAGATACAGAGGTCTTAAATTGTTCCATTTGAACAAATTGTCAATCTAATTGTTTTACTGTTTTATTAATTTTTGTTGCTTACAGTATAATATTAAATACTATAAATTTATGTTTTCCAACATTTATTTTCAGAATAAAAAATTATTTAAGCAACTTATTTGGCATTTTTAATAAAAGCTATAGATTAATTTTTAAAATTATGAAAGTGATGGTCATTACAATTGAATTAAAAGATAAGGTTTTTACGGATCGAAAAGATAATGAGTGTCATAGAAAATCAAATCAAGACCAATATGTAATTCATTCTTGATTTATTGATTAAGGAAAGTCTTAGTAAAGGTCGAAAATATGTAGTTTCACAGGAATGATTGAAGTGCATAGAGTTCTCAATTGAAAAATATTAAAAGCCCACAAAATGTATAAGTGTATTATCATACGGACATCCGCGTTTGTATATTGATTTTCTTTTAATTTTTTATAATTTTTCTGTACGCGCTAATTATTATTTATTTAATTAATAATGAGTACGTCAGAGAGAGATGCTGAAATTTGGGTGAATATTTGATTGATGGAGATGTGCTGGATATTTGATACAAGAAAATAGAGCAACTAAAATGGAACAATTGACTTAAAAGAAATTTTTCATCGAAAACAAAAGGATTAATTTATGAAGATTATTTACTTACTTTAAAAATATGGCTAGTTTTTCTCACGATTGTAGTCTGCTTCACAGACAACCTTTGTATTTACAAAATAGATTGTCCCTCTTTAAAAAAAAGCGTTCTATCTTTCGCACTTATTATTAATTTCCTTTTAACTTTGTTCTGCTCAATTTTCTCACTCGACGCGGATTCGTTGAAGCTCATCGTTATCGTAAATACGCTGCTGAATCCGATGTCGTTATACGACGGTAAAGTAAAGGGGAAGGAACAGAGCCGAGAAGGGTTCCACGCGTATTTCAGGGGAAGGGAACGGCTTAATTGAATAGTTTCGTAACTGAGAACGCGATAGTTTAGCCTGCGATGGGTCTGCAACATAATTCCGTGACCATCCTGATGGCAAGAGTCGTTAAGCGAGAGTTCTATTATAAATGATTTAATGAGCTTAAATTTTTTCAAATGTTGTATGATTCTTACGATTTCCAATAATTTCGAAATAATTTCCTAAGAACTTTCGCCAATAATTATATGTATATATCTTTATATTATCATATAAATTAATTAAGTTTCTCGGATAACTTGCCCTGTCGACTTTTTCGAAATTCTTAACTACTTTTACGATTACTATGAAAGCAAAAAAAAAATTGTTTTTCTTCAATCGGGATTCATAAATAAAATTACGAATATCTCAAGAAACGGAGCTGAGCGCCTTCTTGGAACGCCTCATATCTATGTCTTTCTTTTTATCATTTTATGTAACAACACGACTATCGATTATCGCGGACGCTAACACCTCCCTACAATTTTTATAAACTGTTCTCTCGCCTTCCCATGTACAATGGGACGTATTATCACCGTTCCAGAACACGATACGGGGCACCATAGGTATTTGCAGTAAGTATCTTGTACACACACCTCTCTTTGGCGCGACGATGGAGGAGGGAAAGGAGGAACAGCGGTATCTCCGACACATAATACTCCATTATGTACCCAAGAGGCGCACAAACGCTGTGCTTATTTATGCCTCACCTCGTGGAGATAAAAAAAAAGAAAAGACGAGGGTCGAGAGGGGAGGTTTGGAGATACGGGGGCTTTTTGGTAACGGCGGTCGTCGCGAAGAATTTCGCCGGAAACCACCAGGACAATGCAGTCGGAGGCACGACGGTGATAACGTGGTGCATTTACTTCGCACCACGTCATAATAATAATTTAGCGAAAGCAAAGTCGTTTTATCATTGCTGCGCCGTTATTATTTTGGCTTTAAGTCGCGGTAATTGCATAAACTGTCCGTATGTTTCGTTTTCTTAAATAAATGTGATGCGAAATATTCTCACTTGAAAAATGAGCTTTTCTCTTCCTCGCGACCAGCAGTTTCCTTCACGTTAAATTCTCAGCCATTTTATCGCAGCGATGAAAGAAGTCGTAACAATTATAGCAGAGAATTCCCTCGGTGTTCTACGTGCCGATCGTTTTCTACGAAAGTACGAAATGGAGAATTCACCGTGTGACGAAATTCGAAATTTCAAGGGGGTAGTTCGAAAGTGAAACGAGGGGGAGAGGGAGTTGGCGTGCGGGGCGCGCGGATGCCGAAACGCCGCGCCGCCGCGACCGCGGAATAATAATTCCGGGGACAATGTGTCCCGGCAGATAGCACAAAGCGTAAATCAGCATAAACATCGGTAAAGCCGCGCCGACAATAACTCAGCATAAATGCATAAACATCGGCCGTAATCTTTACAATTCCAACCTCTGCACATCCCTCCCCCCCCTTTGGTCCGCCACTACTCTCCCCCGCGCGTTGCTTCTATTTAGCGGCCGATAAACAATGCGCTATATCATCCCCGCGACGACATAAGCTACGCGCTCTCTCGCCGCGTCGCGACAAGGAACAATAACAATTAGTTACGATTGTAACCGCGCGGGGACCGAAAGCGCGGAATGATCGCGTCGCGTCGCCCGCGGGGATGGACTTCATTAACTATAGATGAGTTTTAGCGATCGGCGACAGGTCCTTTTTCTCGGGTATCTCTCTCTCTGTTTTCTCCACGATCGAAAAGGTAAGAGTGGCTCACGTGTTATTATACTTTTTTATGAGTTGCCTTATATAATGATTAAACTATCTTAAAATTTTCCGCAAAATTTTATTTATTTAAAAGACGAATGAATTTCGATAACAAATCCAAGAAGCAAGAATTTATCGTCCAAACTGTTAATAATTCAATTAAATGGAACTATAAATAAGCAATTCTTCTCGACACTCTCGTGTCTCATGCATTTGCAGTTAATCTATAAAATCTACTCGATTAACAGAATTGTTCGCGACTTAATCGCATTAACGGATTTCTCGCTATGATGTCAGAGGAATGTTCATATGCAACATCAAAGCGCGTAAAAAGCCGTTTCACCGCAATGAGAGAAGCGAGAAATCGGGAAGAGGCTGCGGAGCACATAGGGGGTTGAAGTGGGTACGTAGAACGGGGGACGAGAGAAATAGAAGGAGGGATAGGGAAGACGAGCGGGTGAGAGAGAAAGAGAGAGAGAGACAGGATCGTTGAGCGCGGACGGCGGCGGTGGCAGCGGCGGGGGTGCGGAGAAGCCGGGCAAATCCTTTTAAATCCACACAATTGCGACAATGGGGCTTTATTTGTTATCTCGGGGGCCACATTGTGAGTCGCCGTGAACGAACGGACAGATTACGTCGGGCCAGTGACGGCGCGGGTCCAAGGGAACCCGCTCCTACCGAGGACGCCGCTCCAAGGGAACGACTTTACCTCCCTCGCGTCTCCCTTCCGTTTCCCTCCGCCTCCCCTCTCCCGCCCCCTTTTATTTTACGGCCGCCACCCTACTCTCGTCGTCGACGTCGCTGCCATCCGCCAGAAAAGCGGATTCGCCGTTACACGTCCGCGTCGAAATTTCCCTCGGATTGCCCATACCTCTCACCCCCTTCCGCGCACCTCGACGGCCCTCTTCCCGGTTTTCTTTCTCTCTTAGAAATTTCCGATGGAAAAATATGGCCTTTTGTTTTGCGCTTTTGTATCGTTAGCAAGCCAAGCGGGTGCTGGAGGTCGATAGAAAATTTAATAACGTATAATACTGAAATAAAACATGTCACTACTACATGTGAAGTATAATAAATACCGCAAAGTGTGGAACGTTAAACGCATTGATCGCAAATCAAGTAAATTCAATGATTTCGATTGATTGAAATATGACAAATTGCGCCGCCGCGCTGTGAGTTCGGTGTGAGTGCCATTTCCATTAATTTTATCGTTTATCGACGCGGTCGGTTGCCGTCAATCAGAGGAATTGCATTTTCCGCGTACGAATGCGACGGCGATCCGTTTAAGACGACGCCGATTTCGGTATTCGCGGCTTCGCCGAAAATTTCAGCGGCGGCGTCGCGGGACATCCGCCCGACTCCCCCGCTTTCTTCTATTTCCTTCTTTTTTTTCCCCCCCGACGGGGTGAAATGTAAATCGAGGTCGGAATATTTTGCAATGCGGGCACGGGGTTAGAGCGTGGAATCAGTTTAAATCTTGTTCCCCGAGACGAGATCGAAAAGCGAGAGAGCGGGGATCGTTCCCAAATTTAATCTGCACGCACCTTGCGCGCAAACCTATTCCTCCCCCCTTTAACCCCGATTTTTATTTCGGATACTGTTATTAAGACTTATATTGCTATTAAGACACGTATTATCGAAGGGTCTAGCACAAGTTTATTTATTAATCTAATTAATATAAGATTATTATAAAACAATAAATTGGCACAAATATTGAAGTAATTTCTATAGAAGACTCAAAAAATACTTAATGTGCTTCATTAATGACTTTCTTTCAAGATTTTATTTGTTGAAGAATATGTGGATGTTATTATTGAGTGAATAGAATAAATTGCTTTACAAATATAATCGTCATTAAATTTTTAATAATATTTGTCACTCTAAGAAATAAGCAATCAAAGTCGAGAAACAAATAATATCAAAATACTTTCAAAGGTTTAGTGAAACAACCAATTTTTTTAAGCGGGTTGATTATCATCGCAAAATTAATACTGATATCCTTCTGATGAGATTGCGTTTACGAGATTGCAAAACGTTACGCGAATAAGGCTCGCAAAAAATTATACAAGACGTTACGAGGACTCTAGAGAAGAGAAGATTCACGCGAGATTGCCGGGACCTTCTTTTCAAGGGGGCCCTTTTAAGGGCGCGCCGGTCTCGAAAAATCGGCGCGCGGCCGCTCCGGCGAGCTAAATAAACTCATAACAGTGATTAAATATTCAGGGCCGGTAATAAAGAGCTCGTCTCTCTCGCCCGCCCTATAAATACTGGCCACGTCTCACCCCTATTTCAACCCGGGGCTTAAGCGCAGCATAGCCCCTAAGCTTCTCGGCAACAATGTACCGTATTATGAAGTACGAGACGATCGCGTGGCACGCTTTCCCGCCGTTTTCGATCCCTTCGGCTCTGCTGATACGGACCCCACACCCCGATCAACGCAATCATCTGGAGTATATTATCGTGACTGAGTAGCAATTAGTACCGCTATGCGGAAAAGAAATCGCCTGTCAGTCAAAAATGACGTAAAAAATTTTCCTTCTTCTAGTTTTATATTTTATATTTATAAGTGTCATGTTAGAGAGAGAGAGAGAATAGAGAAAAGTTCAACGATAAATTATATTTATATTGCAAGTAATTCTACAAATCAATATTTATTGAGCAGATTTATTTCTCATTGTAGATGAAACAATTGTCCGTAAGATGTTATTGAATCATTGATAAGACTATAATTGGTTAAAAAGATAGAAGGTCTGTGTTATTTCATGATTTGTAAAAATATGTACGAATTTGTACACTGACAATAATGTTAAAATATTATCATCAAATTGTAGCTAAAAATATATATCAATCTGTAATATGTAAAATCTATCTTAAACGTCTCAGAATCAACGTTTAAAAATTAGAATTTGTACCATAGGTTAGATCGCAATCTTGGCATGAAACCGGTGATAAGAATTTCTATTTACAAGTTTCCTATCACACGTAATATAATTTTCAACATGTTGTCTTATCAAAATTCTATTATCTCAGGCTAGTCTCTTTGTGCAGAATTGCACAGAATTGAAAATTTTTGAAGAAATAAAGAAAAAAAATCTATTTTATCATTTACCATCATCTATTTTTTCATTTACCTTAATTCATTAATTTTATTATTTATTCTTTATCATTAAATCATTTATCATTCTATATTTTATTATCTATATAACTTACAGATAATGTAAGAATGCAATGATTTATTAAAATATTATTACATCATAAATAGAAAATAAAAAGTAAAATAACATTGCGAGAAAGAGGAGAAGAGATTTCGATAGAGAGATTTAAAAATAGTTATCTTTAAATTATCTCCTACGTATATCTTAATTATAGCCTAATTATATTTTAATTATGTTCTATTTATATCATAATTTATATGACAATAATTTTCGTAATTTATCGTTAAATGAATACATATATTGTCACTTGTAAAAAGAAAGTTATTAAAAGAAGAATACATATTTATATTATTATATGATATAAATTATTTGTCATATAAAAATTATTCCGAAAATAATAAATTTAGTTTAAAAGATATTTCAGTGTTTAAAAATGATATAAAGAATGGCTAGTAAAGTAAAAATTTCAATAAAATAATGCTTTTAAGATTACATATAAGAGAAATATACACATTAAAATCAATTTAACTTCGGAAGTTAATTTCAGGAGATATATGTAAGTAAGAGAAGGAAGTTCATTTCAAACGTCATCATTAATTTCTCAAATATAAAATAATCAAATTCGAAAATATTCGAGAGTACTCTGTGTTCAACGTGTCCTGATATGTTCAACGTGTATTTTGTGAGCTCACCTTAATCTCTTTGCTTCGTCAATGAAAGGGCGTTTTTCGCTCTCACTCAGGAGCTTCCACTCGGCGCCTAGCCTCTTCGAGATCTCCGAATTGTGCATTTTTGGATTTTCCTGTGCCATTTTGCGACGTTGACCACGCGACCACACCATAAAGGCATTCATCGGCCGTTTTATGTGCTCGTTATGCAGGGACTTAGACGACATCTCCATGAATCGTTCTCTTTCTGCCACGATCTTTAATCTAATTGCCTTCTTCATGAGTGGACGAGATTTCTGACGGATTAAAAAATTGATAGAACACTCCTATCTCAAGTGGATAAGATAGCTTTCCGTACATCCTGTCAACGTATTTTCAAAAATATCTTTAAATATTTTAAAGGTATTTATCTTCAGTATAGTCTTGAGGGTTCCCGCAAAGTTGATCTGTTGACTGTTCCCGTAAACAAGACCTTTCGAAGCTTGTTGAGTTTGGTGTATCGTCAACATTAAGCGTCAACTAACTTTGACTGGTCGCGATCGATTAGATAATTCTATCTTCAAACTTTTCAAGTTGGTTCACATTCACTGCACGAAAATAACAATTAAGACATTTTTCGATGATTTGGAATATGTCTAAATTTTCTCCGTGTGATTCTATCTATTCAAATATTTAATAGTATCCCGGAAGAAGACTAGACGTTTCAGTTAACAAATAAATCTTTATGCAACGCTCACGAGCAACGGCAACGTTTCCTTAAAATCTTTGAACGACAAATCTTCGTCTGATGATGAGTGCTTCCCAAAAATATCGTGCATATTTTAGAAGTCCAAAATGTTTTCAAAAATATGGACGTCTTGGATCAACAACTGCATCAGGACGACATTTCGAATCTTCTAATCGATGAATTCTTCAGAAAAAAACCATGCAATCGTCTATTGATCACTGGATTCTTCTTGTGCAGCTTTCTGTTACGTCTTCGAATTCAATTTCACGTAAAATTAAACTAATCTGTCAACGGAGGCTTTTTCAACTGTCAGGAGTTGTCTTCTTTCGGTCGTCACGATACAGTTATACTTCAGCAATTCTTCCAGGACAGTTCTGCGCTTCTGTGATGTAATATGTTTTTTTTTCGAGCGACGGCTTGATCTGACGGACACGAGTCCTTTTGGTGCACTGACAGAGAGAATCGCGGGGATTCCCTCAGGAACTTCGCGAAGCACGTAGCATCTGGGGCGAACCCGCGGGACGGAGCTTTCGCCGGTGCGGCTCGGCTCGGCTCCCGTGGGACGTGGGGTAAAATAAGACAGCGGGCCAATCGGTCGCGGCGGCGCTGCCCCCACCATTTAGGGCAGCCAATGGGTGGCCGCGATTGGCCGCCGCGTCGGCATGGCGGTCCAGAGCGGATACGCGCGTTCGCGCAACAGGTGGAGAGACGTCTCTATCTCCTCCGTTTCTTTCCCTCTTTCTGTTCTCCTACCGCACCGCTCACGAAGACAACGACGGCGGGGGTATGGGTGCGTTTGTCGTGCGGATTATCGCGCCGCCGCCGTCGCCGTAGTCGCCTTTTTGACCTCTCCGCCTTCCGTTGGTGGTCAGCCAGGTGCACTCGGTTCATTGATACTTCCGAAGACAATGGCGGATAGAGAGATCGAGAGGATTTCGCGAAGAGAGAAAGGGTTGAAGATATGCAATCACGGGACTTTAGAGGTGCCGTCCGAATTTTTTTGTTTCGATACTGACAGAACTTTCCTACGTTTCCTAAATCTTTTTTTTTCTTTATACACAGTAAAACAATTAATTATATTCAATTTAGTTTTATCGGAAAAAGAAGAGAACGTTATATGTATAACGGCCACGATAAAGTATGTATTTCGGTACTTCAAGAAACTCATAATTAAAACAAAATAAGATGCAAGTAATAAGGGTTCGCTCTAAGAGAGATCGCATTAGTATTTATCAATAGAGCGCAGCGTTTTATACGCTAACAATAATAAAATCGAGAGATAAAAAAAGTTCGAGAGGCGTAGAATTGAACAAAGGTATACGAAATGATGTCGTTGATGCGTTCGCCGATCAACCATCGACTTTCGTCATCAGGCAGAGAATTTCTTTTCTCGCTTTGTCCGCTTGCAGAGAGATACACGAGCGTGGAAGGCGAGCATAGAAGGCCAGGTCTTATAATAAATGTTATCAGTCGCGGCAGTGTCTTGTCACGGGGGGGGGGCGAGAAAGAGAGAGGAGGTGCAACGAGAAGGTTGCGAAGAGGGGAAGGGAGGGGGGGAGAGCTGGAAGACGTCTCGAGTGATAAGGCGATAAAGAGAGAAGGTATAAAACGAGACAAGGGAGCTGGTGTGCGGGCGACAACATCTCCCGGTCGCCATAAAAAGGGGACTGCGCCGTCGCCATTGAATTTCCGGAAGGCGCAGGAATATTCATCTGCCGCAGAAAAGCGAATCTGTGTCACGCCGCGGAAGGAGATCGAGCTGGTACGTTCAGCGAAAGAATGAAAGAAACGAGTCGCATTTAAAAATATGTACGAAATATATTTTCTTACATACACAATATATACAAAATATATAATTCGTGGAACAAATTATAAAATATATCGCGAAAAAATTCGGACGCGATCGTTATGTAACTTCTTGAAAGATAAGAAATGTATATGTTTAAAGACGCAAATTTTACAAATTTTTAGCAAATTGTTTTAATATGGAAATACAATTTTTTTCAGTGGAAATAAAAAATTCTATTTCCGTATTAAAATTTCTAAGTCATATAAAAATGTATTTTTGGTTCAAAGAGATAAAAAAATATGGTTTTCAAATTTAAGATAAAACAAAGTATTATATGTACAGGGAAACAAATATTGATTGAGAACTAAGATATTTGAAAAGGTAAGTTAGTTTCCAAATTTTTTTGAGATCAGAATTTTCGGGGAGACTCGTTCGTTCGATTTTTTTTAAATTACAGGCCTGAAATTTGTAGGTAGTCAGTCCGGCGTAACAAGGAATAAACACCGTATTTCTCGGGGCAGTATAATGAAGGATCATCTACTTCGGAGTAGATAAACGGGCGCGATTGGCTGTCACGCGGGCCCCATTATTAACCGCACAATAAATTCGCTCTCCAACGGTGTCCCGTCAATGAGCGAGATACAGCGATCGACTGTCGTTCCGGGGGCCCTTTATCGGCCCTCGTCGCTTCGTCAAACATTCTGTCACTCACGGGGCGTGAACGCGCCTTTTATCGCACATCGCCGACAAGAGCGAGGGGTGTGACGATGTCTTTTTTTCGGGCAATTAAACGTTAAATCGACACGATACCTCACATTTATATAATGTACAAAATAATTAAGCGATCTTTTCTCCAAATTCGGCCGTATTCAGCGAATTTTCTGACCTTCTGTCACTGAGAAAAAAATATTTAGATAAAAAAAATTACTTATTTAGATTACTGCCAAAAGCTTATTTACTTAATAAATACAAAAATATCTAATTCAAAATAAATATGTGTATTATATTAAGTAAATAAGCTCTTGGCAACAATCTAAATAAATATTTTTTTTAATCTAAATATTTTTTCCTCACAATCAGTGTGAAAATTTCACTGGGATGAGGTATAAAAAACTTTCTTCATCAAACCTAGTACAATCGATAGACTATTTAACAAAAACAGTCGATTACAGTGAAATTGTTTATTAGCTTGTTACTCGCTTTTTGTCAATTTTATTTCAAATTTCGCTCAATTATACGTTAATAAATTCTTCTCTCAGACTCTGTTCTTATTAATTCTTATTATGGCGTAAAATTATTTATATTATTCTACTCTAAAAGTTTCCTCTTTAGAAAGAATTGTTTTGCATCAAGAATCAAATTTTGCATGGAAAAGAATTGAAAAAGGGAATACGCACTTTCGTAGCACAAAACACGGGGTGGACTAAGTGATTTTTCGCGATTCCAGCATCACGAGCGATTCGAGCGAAAGGGGGCTAGGGAGTGGGATGGGAGGGGTTTTCATTTCTCGTCTTACTCTCCCCCACGGCCTCCTCGAGCACGGGGATGCCACGCGACCGCTGATTATATACCATTCATCGACTGGCATGGTCCGAAAGAGGGTTGCGAGCGTAAACGCTGTAACATCTAATGTACTCGCTTCTCCCCCCACTTCTTGTTTCCCGTCTGCTTCGACCTGAATGCTCGCTCATCAATGAAACAATTCGGCTTATCGACGATCCATCGTCGGCTCCTTAAGATCTTCTCCCTATCTCTTTAATTGGCAACGTCCGTTTAATAGACGCGGCGTATGCAAAATCTCATTATTTGCGCACATATTTTCTTCAAGGGTGTGCTGTATTACATCGAATATATCTTGTAATATAGTGGAACGACGGAAGAGTTAAAAAAAATTTATAATAATAAGTCATACATTTTACAGAAAAAAATGCTTAATTTTTTATTACATAAAATTTTAGATTTTCTATATTTATAATCATAGAAAAAATACTGTAATTGAGAAAATTAGAGTAATTGAATTTTATATTAAATAAATTTATGGCAATTTATAGACGGAAAAGTCAGGTTCAAGATTAGGGTTCTTCTTTTTACACACAAAAATGTTGTATTATTAAATGATATAAATATTATTAAAATATTATTAAATGATATAAATTTCATTCAATTACAGAGCATAAAAATCGGTACGTAATGGCAAAAACAATGCGTGTGAGTACAGAGCAGAACATGATCGCAGTGATTGCTGAAGCGACAACAAACGCGCCCCGCGAGGAAGGGGTTAACAGAGGCTGAGGGGAATGAGACGGTTGGGGATAGTCGAGAGGAGGCGACGCTGGCGTCGAAAAGCTCGCTGATTACTCCATTGTCGTGCCGGTTGTTTCAGTTAATCGCAACGCGCCGTGGACTTTTGTTGTCCTTTTACAGCCTGCATTCAGGCTGATACGTCCATCTTGATACTTAATGCCGTTAATGTGTATGAAAGTTACAATTTTTGAGAAAAAAAGAAAAAACGAGATTTTTGAGCAAAATTTCGTTTGATAAGCGAAGAATACCATTATAAATATCAATGAGAATAATTAAATCGGAATATACGTAAAATAATAATTGTACATCTAACTAGGATGAGAAAAATTACGAGTTAAAGTTTGCAGAATAAATTTACAAGGTATCGAAAAGTCGATTTATTCTTTTTATCATACCATTGTTGTGTATGCATTCTGAAGTATTGCTGCATTTTGTATATCGTAAAGCTATATCTATACAAGTGTATAAGGCGTAATACAGAAGTGTATCGTATCTTAGAAAACGTTGATTATATGGATCCGTCAAAAAAATCCGTTATGAGAAGTGTATCATATCTTAGAAAGTGTTGACTATGGATCCGTCAAGAAAAACCTGTTGTGTAAAGAAAAAGCAAGCACCTCGCCACACGTCGCGGAACGTCCGGTGCGCGGTGTCAAGAAGTTCCGCGGTGGGATTGCGTCATAAATGTCGTCATAAACGAGACTCGATTGTCTCTCTGTATATCGTTTCTCCGGCGGCCGGACGAAAATCGAATTCCGTTTTGTTTGGACGAATCTATACTAGCATTCGGTATTCAGAGCGCGGCCCTCGACATATCAAAATAGAGCGCGCACAATAAGTTATTCGACCGAACAAAATCGTGGGAGGTTGCGCGGCGCGGGGGCGCGAGATAGGGGGGGGAGGCGAGGGGACGATGGGAGGGTAATATTTTATAGAGTCCCGTTTGGGTTACATACCGTGAATACATCGCGCGGAAAAAGGGTGGCGTGGGGGGATAGGATGGGGTGGGACTCGCGCGTGTGACTGGAATACGTCATCGAAGGCCTACGGGGTTGAATTACCTCCCTCCCGGCGGCGGCGCACGTATACTAATCTTCATTCGCTGTTTGATCAAGTGCACTTCTAAGTGTCCTTCGCTCGCCGTTGTGACTCGGAACTGGGGGGGAAAGGAAATTCGGTGGTTCCAATTCCACTTCCGGGAGTATATTGTTGGAACAATGAAAGCGACTTCCGTGAAAATCGTCGAGGAAATATCAGCGCGAGCTCTCAAGCCTCTCGTTCTCAGTGATTTAGATCCAGTCTTCGCTCGACTTAATAGCGACTTAACGACTCGGGCTTGTAATACATAATTCCGATTCCATTTATCTTAATTTGAAAAAAGTTAAAGAAAGGATGCGATCGCGCAAGC